ACTAGGCCTTTGACCTTTAAAGGAGAACTATGGGGTCAGGGCTTTTCCCCATAGTTCTCTTAAGGGTAACAGGAGGACACAAACTAGCATTCTCCCTTCACCCAAAGCTCAATATATAGCAAGCCACAGCATGCAGTATACTGAGACACCGCAGCAGGGACGGATCCCGACTTTACTGTCGAGATCCACCCAGTTGCGGGATTGACATCTGGCCTATCTAGAGGCAGAGCCAGCTGTACCCGCCCTTTCCCCCGTCCGTTCCGCCAGTCAGCTCTGGAGGATCAGACAGGGGAGGGGGGAATCCCTGCAGAGAGCCGTGAGTGACAGTCACGGCTCTCTGCAGGGATAGATTGAGAAGTGAGCGAGCGACGGTTTGTGTTCGCTCACTTCCTGATTTATTGAGCCGACCTGTGATAGTTTCATTGTCACAGGCCGGCTAGAACTATGAGACCGAGTGATTTTCACTCACCTCATAGTTCTCCTTTAGGACAGGTACATGAGCAAAACTTTGAAGCACAGTTCTTGTGTGACAATTCTCATCATTATCATGCTCAGTTCAGTTATTGCAACGCTACAGGAATCCCTAGTTTGGATCCTATATGAGTAGTATTGTAAATCACCATGAAACACTGGACTCATTTGCACAGTATGTAATGATGTAGGGCAGGGGTGTCCCTAGCATAATCCTCGCCACTTGGGGGTGCTGGTGGTGAGGGAGGTAGGGTTGGGTTTAGATGAGGTCCTAGTGGTGCACCGCCCAGCTCACTGACATCACTGGTTGCCAGGAGCTGGGCAGGACACCGGCCAGAGCGTCCCGCTCAGCTCCTGGCAACCAATTACATCACTGGTTGCCAAGAGCTAAGCAGGATGCCGACCATAGCTTGCCGATCAGCTCATGGCAACCAATGACATCATGGCCCTTACACATCTCCCTGTCCAGATCTTAGAAACCTGGGACGCTCTCCCTGGAAAGGGGGCGGCAGGCAGCGCCCACGTGACCCAAAGAGATGCTGTCTGAGTCAACAGCCTCCGGCTCCATCATTATAGGAAGAACCCTGGTGTAGGGCACGGGTTAGTTGCTCTCCATTTGAAAAGAAAGTAGGTAAATATGTTAATTGACTCTATTTATTAGTTTTATGTTAACTATAACAATAATAAAATACAGCTCTACTACATTCTGAATTAAAATATACATCACTCATTGGAAAAAATCCAATGACACTACAGACATGCAGCGAGAAAAGACACAGCTATTACAGTGTTAACAGACAGAAAGCCGAAGCTGTGCAGAAAAAGAAGAAATAAAAAAAGGAAGTGGAACATGAGACAAGTCAGCTGCCTCGGGCCGGTCACATGTTCACTAAAATACAATGTGGATAAAACATAAGAGGCATAAAAGCAATCCTCTATTATATTATATTATATATGTGTATTTGATAATATACTACACGCATGGTATTATATACATAGTGCAGGATATACAGTGATCCGGAAATGATTACAAATGCACTCTTATGCAGCAGACATTGCAGAGTCCAGAGCTGGTCAGTTGTCTTCATGATTTATTCATTATGTATGACTTGCAGTACAGTTCTTCTATGGCAGGCTATCATCTCCTAATGTCCATACTTACATAAGATGGAGGCAACCAGTAGGCTAGTGAATTCAGCATTTCGGTTCCCCCCAATGTAGACTGAAGCTCATTCAGAGAGTGAATCTCTGTAGTTACGTACTGTATGCAATATATTTGTTTTATTTTGCACTAAAAGGTACAGTGTATTTAAACTCAAATAACGAGCTTCTCTTAGGCCCTTTTCCAGGGATCCCAACCAGAAATAAGTCATTTCAGGGAGGTGCCCTTCTAATTTGAGGGAGGTGCCCTCTGTCAACCCCCCCTCCCCCTCTACACGGTGGTGCAACAACAAGGAAGAGTGATGGCAGATAGCAAAGACACTAAAGCTTCCTTTGCTATCTGCTGTTTTTTTTTAGTGTACTGACAGCTGCTGCCGTCAGGACATAAAAATATATAAAAAACGGCATAGGAACTAATAGCTAGATTGCTATTGGCTATTTCAATTTGCAATAGCCAATAGCAAGCTGGCTATTGCACCCGCCCTCTGCTGCTGTCAGTCAGCAGAGGTGGACCTGATGGAGAACTTCAGGTCCACCGCTGCTGATTGACAGCAGCAGTGGGTGGGTGCAGTAGCTAGTCTGCTATTGGCTATTGCAAATTGAAATAGCCAATAGCAATCTAGCTATGCATTCCTATGCTGTTGTTTTTTGTTTTTTTTTTCTTTTTTTCTGACTGACAGCGGCCCCGATGTCAGAAAAAAAACAAAAGAAAAAAACAGACAGCACGGAAAGGTGTACTCTGCAGAGAAAACCTTTCCGGGAGAAAATGTTTCTCTCCCAAGTGTCCGGGAACCGCTATCTAATAGCAGGAGACTCCAGGAGAGTTGAGATGTCTGCTTTTCACATGGGCGGCGTCCAGTCCGATCAGCAGGGGATCTGTGAACAAATCCCCTGCTGATTGGAGCAGTATGGAACGGATAACACTTTTGTGACATCCATTTCTGTTCAGTTTTTCTCCTCCATCATGGACACAGGTCTGTTTACATCCACCAGCCCATAGACTAACATTGAGCTTCTGATTAGGTCTGCCTGAAAAACTGACAGGTGGATCTGATCGAAATGCCAAGTGAAAGGGGACTTCGGTCTCGTTCACACAGGCTAATTAGGCCTGGCAGCAGTTTCCTGTGGCTGGAATCACAGGCGGTTCTGGAAAGCTGCAGCCGCTCAGCCTGTGCAAAGCAATGACCGGCTGACAGGATCCACAGGAGCTACAGTTGTCCACCGCTATTCAAATGTGTTCCCATATCCAGCAATTACCTGTGACGAGGGACCTGAACAAATGTATCCGCTGGATATGCGGATACATTTGAATAGCGACGGACAGCTGCTGCTCCTGTCAGCCGGTGATTGCTTTGTATAGGCTGAGCGGCTGCAGCTGTCCAGAACCACCTATGACTCCAACCACTGGAATCTGCTGCCAGGCCTAATTAGCCTGTGTGAATGAGGCCTTATTTGCTCCCTTTTGGTCTGTTAAAATACCATTAGGAGCCGTTCAAATCAGCAAGCAGCGCTATACGCACGACCATCGGTGTGAGGTGAGAGAAATAGTGCAGATGCGCGGTTTACTTTTCATTAAAATCTACAGCCACAGCACGGTGCAGGCAGTACTTTCAGTGCACACCACCACAACATGGTGGTATAAACTGAGAGAACTGTAAACAAGTCTATTGCCTTGTCAGTGCATTGGGGCTGGAAAAGGTGGCTAGTGCAGTCCCAACACATCTGCTGTGGACTGGCACTGAAAGTGATTTCCGTTAGAAATCAATTGAGCTGACGACTTCCTGCGCACTTTGCCTGTGATGACTGTTATCGGTCAGCATTGCTTCCAGCTCTCTCTGTAACTACAAAACACCTTCCCCTCTAATGAAGAAGAGGAGAGGCAGAGGTGTTCTCTAGTCCCAGAACACTTCCTTTCCTAGGGTAACAACACTGCTCCTCTATAGATACAGTACAGTGAGTGAATGTTGTCACCGTAAGACAGGAAATGTGTTACTAGCTGATTAACCAGTTGAAAATGAAGGAAAACGACACAGATAGTGTGACTTCAGACATGTATTTTCATCAACAGCTTGAAACAATGACATGAGTTTGCTACACTGCTGCATGGAGGATGGAACTTGCTGACAACTAAAACATAACAGCTTTTGTCCCATTTCAAATGCCACAGTTAGATCAGATGTGCACAAAGCTGAACTCCAAGCTATGTAAATATTGCCCATATATAAGAGCCATGTGTATTCTTGATTGAATCTCCATGTCCTTATGTAGTAGTCAAGAATGAAAACAACTCCTGTACTTTACCTCTGTTCAGGAGTTTCCTGTAATAAAGACCAGTCAATACTGTTTCTCCAACTTGTGTAGGGTGACTGGTCTGGTCTCCGCCCCCTTCGGTAGTGGGTAAACCTGCTAGGCCCCTCCCACAGCTCCGCTCTCTGCACAAGCTATGTACAACACAGTGATCATGTCACTGCATCTTTTACAACTCAGTTTTGCAAAGCCAGGAAAAGTTGATTTCTATTCTTACATTCTTTGCAGCTATTGATGAATAGTTTTTGTGCCTGGAATTCAGATTTAAACAACATCTATATCTCCCAAATATAAGAGCCATGTATATTCTTGCTTGAATCCTTGTGTGCTTATGCAGTAGTCAAGAATGAAACAACTCCTCTACTTTACCTCTGTTCAGGAGTTTCCTGTAGTAATAAAGACCAGTCACTGACGTTTCTGCAACTTGTGTAGGGTAACTGGTCTGGTCTCTGCCCCCTCCTATAGTGGGTTTGTGCCTGGAATTCGGATTTAAACAACAGCTATATCTCCCCACCCGTAGGCTTAGGTGCCATGTACTATGGTGACACTGACATACCCTATCCAAAAAATATACAACTGTCTGACAGTATGATCACTCCTGGTGCTATCCCCACAACTGCCATTGCCATAGAGCAGATCGGAAAATGATAGAAAGGTTGCTATGGGTAACCCAACCACTCTTGCATCCTGCAGTGTTGTATACAGCACTTCCTGCACCATCAGTAGCAGCAGTCATGCGTACGGATCATATGACTTAGGAGGAAACACTCCTATATACAACATCAGTGTCTGTCATCCGTGCAGTACAATACAGAAACATGACATGTATGTTGATGACACATGATCCATAGGCAGAGTCTGCAGCACAGAGGGGGCTGGAAGTTTATCAGCTCATATAAATCATCTATTATATACATGACAGCCCCTGCCAACTCCCCGTCCAGCACACACAGGCAGATGCTATACATCTTCCCTGCTCGGCACTGACACTTCTAACAACCATCGATTCTCAGCTAAACCATCCGACAAATGTTAGTGATAAAAGAGGAAAAGCACTGTACCTAACTGGAGGCAGCCATGACAGGGAAACACTGAAAAATGCAGCAAACTACAACTCCCAGCAGCCTTTGCGAGTCCGACTACAGTAGCCTGCGAGGGACAATCGGCAGGCTTTCTCGCTGCAGTGATCTGTAAGGTCTCAGGGAGTGAGATGTGACAAGCTGGAGGGAAACTATATCACTAGTCCACAGACTTCCCAGGGAGGTGCATTGGAAAATGTTCACACCGAATGCAGATGAGGGAGGAATGGACAGATTTGGCAAAATTGATTTCGCTGTGAAATGAACAATGTTGCCTTGAGCTGAATTTCGTGGAGACACTCAATGAGTTCTAATTAGGAAAAATCCCACACTAATAAATATTTTTTTTAAACCCAACCCCCCCTCCCCCCCC